CCGGACGCGTTGGCGCAGTCCGTTTCGTCATCCGGGGTCGCTCGGACGACGTCGTCGACAATCGGGTCAAAAACGCGTCGAAATTCAAATTTCACAAAAATTCGACCCGCGATCGATCTTCACAAGTGGTTTACTCGAGCCCTCGGCAAATAACGGTGCAGGCAATGCGAATTGCGGAGATCGGACACGTCGACTCTCCGAATTGCGAAGCTGGTGCGCGCAGGAGTGCGAATTGTGCAGAAGGCCATCCTAAGGCTCGGAAAAGTCCTATAGAAATCCATTTTTGGTTTCCTCATGTCGGTTTCATTCTTCTAAGTGTTAGAAGTTGATACCGCACACGCGAAACCTCTAAAAGAGGACGGAAATAGGTCGAACTAAACGAGGCGGGCACCACTTCTAAGGTTTTAAGATAGTCGCAGGAAGACCTCTAAGGCTAGATCCTAACTCCTACGAGGAATACTAGACCTCACGAAAATTGAGGTCAACAAGGCAATGCTTTATTATAAAGGATCAACCATAGATGGTAGCATACGTAGTAGCGCTACAAATTTGGTACCAAGTGGCTTCTAATGAATCTTGATTTATTTACCCCTTTTTTTATAATCTTATCTTCAATGGTGCAACCCCATGGGGTGAATAAATCAATGCTATTTTTTACGAGAAAAAGTGAACTGTCTCCTGCTCTATATTTGATTGGGTGGTACCGTGGGCCTTGACTTAGGAAATTTCATATATTTTGAACCCATGCTAGAAGTACAGATTGGAGACAAAGCTTGTAATATATATTTGTAATATACATACGTGCCAAAACTGGAACTTTAACTTTGAGCCTACCAGTTTGGGACGTGTTGGATAAGTTGACTCTCTTTAGGCCTAGGAAGTGTTGCCTCCATCTAATTTTTTTAACCATGAGCAACAGTTTCTGCTGTTCTTGATCTTAAGCTATAGATAAATTCTATTTTTTTTAACTTTAACTCTGTTTTGCTTGACATCTCTTTTCAGGTAGAGTTTGTTGGTGGCCCTATGTGTTGGAACACTCGTACATTCACTGCATCGGCAGGTAAATTTCATTTCAGAAATGATATAATATGAATTTGTCAATCTGTTTAGTCATTTTAAAACTGATATAATATGATTTTGTCAATCTGTTTAACCATGATTTGATCTTTTCTTTACATCTAGCAGGTGGTGGAGCTTTTTGCAATGGTCAGAAGATCCATGTTAGCCAGACTGAGCTGGTAATTGTTTTTTAATTTTCTATGGCTGAATTGCTTTGTGATTTTATTTTCTTCATTATACACTGATTTTGGACATAGAGCTTATAAACTACATGGTATTTTAGACGACAGCACAAGTCATCGATGTATAAGATGATATTCTTAGGGATTTGGTTCATCATATACAAATATTTAAGTAACTGCACGAAAAAAAAAGAAACTTCAGCTGCAATATAAGCACCAAATACTTAGGAGATAATAATAGTGAAGAAGCCCCAACCCTAGAAGGTCAGAGACCACAAGAGATGCGATTGCTCATTTCTCATGAATCTTGTGAGCTGTTGTTTGATTTAGATCACTACTTGTGAAAGATTTGATTAGAAATCACTCATCTTAAATTGAGATCGAGTCAAGTATGAAAAAAAGAAGAAGAAAGAAGATAGAAACATAAGATGATTTATTAAAAAGTGGAAAAGAAACTAAATCAACAAAGACCGACTCTTCTGGTATTCTATTCAAGATTGAAACTTACATCCATGACAAAAAACTTTATTTCTTAAAGAAAATTTTACAAAAAAATATTATCCATGAATTTGAACATTATATTGGATTTATTATTAATCCTCAGCGTTCTTAAAATCCAGATAAAGGATCTATAAAATTACGTGAGTGGAACCAAAACCACGAACAACTTATTTTATGATTTCTAGAGATGCTTTGGCCAATGCATCTTAGTTGAACTCCAAGCTTTAAGATAGTGGAATATCTTTTGTAGCATGTGGTATATGGCCATATATACCCAATGCTGGGCATTAAAAAAAATAAATAATAATTAACGGATGCTGGAATCTATAGTTCAAAACAAGAGTTTAAAACAAGTCGCTTTGTGGTAACTTTAACTATAATAACAATTAAATGTTTATTTTTTTCTGCTAAGTTCTAATCTGAGGACTAAAACCTAGATCTATATAACAAGAAGCACCCTTTAAGTTTGCCTAATTATAAACACAAGAGAAAACAGAACTATCTTAATTTTATGGCCACTCAAACATAAAATGTCTTCAGTTATGTAGAAACCATTATGAATAATTGCTGTTAAGGGATGATGCCTCCCTGAAATGATGAAAAGTAAAATTAAAATTTAACCATGTTTCTCCAGTATCTCGCATCACTTCTTTTGTCTTTTTTTATGTAGGATAAATTACTAATTTAGTAGGATATTTTGTTTGATTGATTAACTAGACATTACAGATCTTACAAAATTTGATATGTGGTTGCTTGATTATTTTTCTGAAGTTTTGAGTTCAGTTTTCATTTGTTTGTTAGAACTTTATCTAAAATGGTCGATACAGTTGAGTAAGAATTATGTCGCAAACTTTGAATTATTCATTTGGCATTCAAATGCTTGCTTGACTGAGGAGACAACACAATCAACTTGCTTCATCTCCATGCCCTCAAGATTTTGTTTTGAATTAGAAAAGAACAAACTTCTGCCCGTGTTCTCATTCTTCCCATTTGCTCTTATATTTCAACCATGGTTTCAATAATACCATTTTATTAGATTTAATTCTTGTATTTTAATTTTACATTTTTTTTATTTCACATCTAAATCTTGTTTTTTAATTTTAACTTTTTTTAATGCACTTTTGATCGAATACTATTTAATATTCTGCTTATTAGCAGATGGCATTATTTCATCCTTCGATGTTTTGAATTGGACCATGTATTTTGTTGGGATACTTAATAATCATTGATTTGTTGGTTGACCAGTGATTCTTGAGTGTTTTTAAAATCAACCATATCTTGAGTACATATATCAAATATGATTCTTTCAAATCAAACGTAAACAAGTTTTTATATCACTAAGTGTGGTTGACTACATGAATTCTTTTTCTCCATTTTATCCTATTATTGAAAATAAAAACGAAAATTAGGAAAAAACAAAAGTTATCCCAAACAGTCACTTAAATTTCTCACTTGCTTGCCATTCAAACTAGGTTTTCCAAAGATACTTTGGAGAAGACAATTGAAGGTGAGTGCGGGCACCCCAAGAAGGTTACTCTTACCTGCCAAATTTGGGAAAATTTGAGAAATTGTCTCTAGAACGTTTTGCAAGATGTTGATGATTTGTTGTCATAATTTGGGGATTAATCAATAATATTAATAATGCAGAGGCTGTGCATAAAACTCCAGCTAATGTTGAGTAGGGGGAGGGTTGAATCTTACCTCTGCATTTTAAGAGGAGCTATTCTAGTGGGTTGTAGTAATAGAAATAATAATAATAATAATACTAATAATAATAATAATAATAATAATAATAATAATAATAATAATAATAAACAAAAAGATGCAGGTGGTTAGAGGAGATGCATCCCCTTATAGAAACATATTTTTTATCCCTTTGAACGTCTTCTCATTCGATACAATCGAACGATCAAACGAGAGATAGCGAGAGCAAACTATCGTGCCCTAGCCATAGGAGGAAGAAGTCGCAGAAAGAAGTGCGTGCGGCCATTGTGCAGTGTTGGGCCGTGCGAAGAAGAGGAATGAGGGAGGCAGCGATATCAAAGGTTTACCTGGACTGAGTCGCGATCGAGGAGGAAGCTACAACTTCTTTTGTTGGTGCTGTGTAAGGAGTAGCTGGAGAAGAGGAGGGAGGAGACTTCGGGTGCTATCTGCTCGAAGTCGATGATCCTTACGTGCGGCTTGTTCAAACGACTGAGGTCCTGCTCTTGGTCTGTAGGGATGAGTCGAGACCAAAGGAGAAGAAGAAGGCGATTCGAGCTTCCTGTGGTGCTCGCGTGCGGGAAGAAGAAGTGAAGACGACTCAGCTGCACTGCGTCAAGTTTAGACTGAAGGAAGTGGGGGAAAAACTCCTTGATGCTCTGCTCGCGTGAGTGAGGGCAGGCCCAAAGTTAGTAAGATATAATTGAGATTTTAATTTAATTAATTTATTTATATCGTTATATGAATATGTGTTATAATGTGTGGATGCAAGTTTTATTGAAATCAAGATTAACAATTAATGATTTCATATTCGAAGGAGAAGTCGGAGCGTGTGAGTTAGGGGGAGGATCGATCCGAACAATTTATAATGTAAATTTTTATATTTAAATGAAGCAAATAATCCAAATATTATATATACACACACACACACACACACACACACACACACACACACACATATAATGTTAAAATAAATTTTACTTGAATCAGAAGTCGAAGACTCGATAAATTCTTGGGATTTGAAAAAGGGGTGAATTAAACATTCAAAGAATGATAAGATAAAGATTTATAATTTGTCTGTTAGTTATGTCAATTTGGTATAATTAAAGGTGGTGTTAATTGCATATCAACAATTTTCGTGAAGTAATTTTAATTTATCAAACAGCAGAAGTAAAGGACGATAGAGATGTCAAAGTGCTACGGGAAGTATTTTGACACGATAAGTATTTCAAAAATTTCTAAAGGCAAATGTGAATGATTATTTTCTTTTATGCATTAAATTAATATTTTATTAAATGGATAATTGTTTTATGAAATGGGTTTAAAACAAGTTTTTCAGTTATACCTTGCATATTGAAAGTCTGAAATGATATACGGGATGAGAGGAAAATATCTTACATATGAAGATACATTTTAAAATATTTTAATTAATATGAAATAGAAGATAAAAATTTAAGTCATACATGGTTACTTCCAGATGGTACTGGCAGGGGATGCAATTTACCTGTGCACGTCAAAAAAAATTGTAAAGTGATATCTTTAGGTACAATTTGAGGGTTTCTTTGGTACAAATTTGAGGTTGCCTTGGATACATTTTTAAAGATACTTTCGGGTATGAATTTTTAAAAAAAGTTAAATGATAAATATTTAAAGTGGAACGGGAAGTGATAAAGTTAAAGTGTTAATGAAACGAACTGCTTTTTTCTTGGTCATTCATCTATAGCATAACATAAAAATTTAATGCATATTAGATTATAATTACTCACTTAGTTATAATTATGGTTGCAAATAATATTTTCTATCAAGTGAAGAAAAGCTTACCGCCAGAGTACCACTGCTGCTAGGTATTTTTATGATGATAGTTTCGCTTACTGCTTCTCTCAGATGTTGATATATTTTTAATACTGGTTTGAGATATTTTTCGATGTTATTGTTTCTCAATGCTTTAGATTTTATTATACTTTATGAATTAGTGACACTTTTATATATATTGAAAGTTTTTATAATGTGGATAATAGATGTTAATACTGTCTTATCGCTGTACCCGTCTTAGTTATTTCTAAGCTCCGAGCTGGGTCGTGACAAAAGTGGTATCAGAGCCAGTAGGTTTGATCATGATCTAAAAAAGCCATTAGAATGATTACTCTAATTCATAAGTACTATTGATAATGAATTAAATTGTATCTAATTAAAAGTTTTCTTTTATTATTTCAAAAATATGGAAAATTAGGGGGAAGAAGCTAGAGGCGTTATTGTAGAAGTTGATGCACCCCTGCGGATTACTGTTAATACTGATGCATTTATTGAGATAATGGTTGCAGTAATGTAGTTGATTAAGAACTCTCAAACTCAGGTCGATTGTAGTGGAGGAGGTCAGATGGATAGGTACTTGAAGTTGTTTCAGGATATGAGACCACCTCTCTTTTCTGGAGGGGGCGATCGGGTGGATGCGGAGAGTGGAGAAGATTCTAGATGGATTGTCTTATCCTCCAGAGAGGATGGTTACACTGGCTACATTTGTATTAGAGGGAGAAGCAAAGAGATGGTGGCGTGGACAGCTGCAGGGGAAATTTGGAAGTAGATCCAGTCACATGATTCAGTGAGGTGAGTTCATGAGCACCTTTAGAGACGGGTTCGTACCACAGTCTGTCAGAATATAAATGCAGGGCAAGTTTATCCGGTTGGTACATGATGATCGATCCATTATGTAGTATGAAGCCGAATTCACCATGCTCTTTAGGTATGCACCTCAGTTGACTCCTAATGCAGAGGAGAAGTGCCACATATTTTTGTGT